GAGGAAAAAAAAAAAAAAAAGCCCCCAAATAGATATTTATTTTAATTCAAGAGGGACACAGTGGCAAAAAGTAACCTAACTTTTCCGTAAAGCCGGTCTTTCCTCCTCCACAAAATGGCTTAAATTTGCACACTAAATGATGGTAATTGATTATTTTTTTCTGACAGGAAATTAAGTCTGCTAGCGGAAAATGCTGTGTGAAGGGAACGGAATTTCCCTCCTACACACATACACACACACACAAAATTTGAAAAAAGGTAGAAAAAACCCACGGTGCTATAGTTTTAGAGAATATCAGACTATGATACTTAGATGTATGTCTCACCCAGGAAGGTGATCACCCAGCAGGAGATCAGCACCCCCTTGCTCTAGGGTTGCATTCAAATCCAACATGCCAGGGCAAAAAAAGCCCCATAAAACTACAGAAAGGAGAAAATGTGTTGTGTTTTTCTTGTCTATGCTCAAGATGCAACTCGGGCCATGCAATTTGGTGCCATTTACCTTCGCCCCCCGAGTCGCGCAGCATTGTGTCTGCCACCACCACGATGGGTCTCTTCAGCACATGGGCGAGGACAAAAACATGGAACTCCTCCAGGCTCTCGTAYACTGGCTCTTCGGAGCTTTCCACCCTTTGGAAAATAAGGGATACGTGACCTGACTTGCATCCCATGGGTATTTAATCAGCACTTTTAAAACGGGAGGGGAAGAGGTCTTTACAGGCAGCTGTATTAAAGCATATCATATAAAAAGCATTAAGTCTGAACTCACCTCTGCTTTGAGATTTTAGTCTCATTTTGGGCCACTGAAGAAAATGGAGGAAAAAAAATATACATTTTATACATATGCTGCCTACCCTCCGCAGTTGCCTCCATTCGTGCCGTAGTGGACGCGGGGCTCACTTGACGCCAGCTTGATCAGCTCATTCCACTCCTTCTGCCACTCCTCTTCCGTGTAAACCAGGCCGGACTGGAAAAAAAGGCAAAGAAAGTAATTTTCAACCAATTTGTGTCCATTTTTGTAGGCACAAATGCATCACTTCCCTATGGGCCTATGCAAAAGAGTCAGTGTTATGCAGAAGAGGCTGTGCTTGCAGGTTCTGCAAGTCCAGACATGCCGCAAATTTACCTTTCCTTTCCAAAAAAAAAAGGAGGAAGCTGGAATGTAAAGGTATCTTTGAAGATCAGGTGGGAACGAGGTTTACTCTGCTCCCAAAAAGTGGCAAAGCCCCAAAGGGCTGCGTGCAGCCAGGTGAGGACACTGGGGAGCTTCCCACCGTGCCGAGCTCACGGTGCTGCCCAAAATGCACGATGGAGACTTTGCTGCAAAGGGATGTGCATCCCAGACACGCGTGAGACTGTGTTGAGGCTCTGCCCTCAGCTTTCTGGCAGGTTCCTACCTCCTTGTTCTGCTGCGTCTGCTGCCAGCGCCACCTCCGCTTCAGGGCTTCCCTTTCCACGCCTTTATCCATCAGRGTATAGAGGGATTTGCGCAGCATAAGATCCCTGTCGTGGAAACCCCACATGCCTGGGTAGGGGAAAAGGAGAAATAAGAAGCAATTCCCTGGGGATTAGCAGCAGTCAGCATCACTGCGTCTTCTGCCACCTGAAGGTCCTGGAGCTTCCTGCAAACCAGGGGATGAGGAAACTGGGAAACTGAGAAATGCAAGTTTAATAAATAAATATATAAAGACTATTCAACTTCTGGGCCAAGTGCTGTATATGCTGCATCTATAGTGGGTATTTACACCGTGAGAAGGAGAAGTTGGCAATTCCGCTTCTCAGAAGAATTTCAGAGATGCAGCAAAATATTTGTGCGTTAGAAAAAAAAACGACAACAAAACCAAAACAACAACGGGATGATCTCTCTGCACGAAGGAAACGSGCAGGAAACGGTTGCGCTCAACCAGTTTCAGGCCCTGGAGAGCAGAACCCGGGCTGGTGAAGCCGCTCTGCCCGGCGAGGGGCTCTGGAGGCCGCTGGCAGCAGGAGCGGGTGGGCACGGCAGAGCTCTTACCCAGGGAGGCAGCGTGGAGCAGGCAGTTCCCGTCGCCCGTGGTGGCCAGGGGAAGGAGCCGCTGGCAGCTGGGGTCCACGGCAGCCCACCAGTTGAGGCGACCTGCGGGCGACACGGCAGAGGGTGGCAAGGGGGCACAAGGGCGCCCTCGGGACGCGCTTGGGGCGGCCGGTGCCATGAAAGGGGGCAAGAACAACGCGCCGCTCAACCCAGCATCAAGAACACGAGCACATCCGCTCACTGCAAGGCGAAAGGAGTCAGGAAAATAACATAGCAACAGAAACGGGCCAAAAATAGGAGCCAGCCCCAGGCAGGGCTTTAACCCAGAGCAGATTTCTCCTGTTTTCTTCCCCCCGCAATATTGTTTCCAAAAACCACAAGCATCAGGCTCCAAACACATCCCCCAGCGCCAATGGGGCCCAACAGCTTTTCCAGTTTCTCTGGCTAATCCCAAGACTGCTTCTAGTTTCTTTTTTCAACCAACCCCTYCCTACATAAAAGCATCTAAGAGGGGTTGTTTTTTCTCCGCTTGCTGATTTTAGGTGGGATACTTGGGAGCCCACTCGCTAGGCAGCTTCAGCGAGGAAAATACAACCCCACAGCCTTTCACACTGCTTAAAACGAGCAGCGTTGGGGGAATACAAAGCACCTGCATCGCTGCAACTCCAGACAGAAGGTTTTCAGCTCATCTAAAAATAGGAGCTTGGAAAAAATAACAGCCGCTGCAGCCACGTGGACGGGAGTTAAACGTTGATCAAGGAAATGAAATTTTGGGTTGTCCCGTTTTGCTGCTGTTTGAAGACAGTAATTTTTTCGCTCTGAGAAAGGAACCGGCCGAGGCGAAGGGCGCTCGCCAGGCCCCAGGCGACAGCTCCGCTCGGGACAGTGACTATTTCCAGGCCGTGCAATTTCTGGCCCAACAAAGTCGCCAACTTGCGCCAAGTGGCCCGGAGCCAGGGGAGCAGAAYGAGAAGCAAAACAGCCTCCAAGGAAAGCCAAACAAAAGGCCGCGCTACTGCAGGCGGCGCTGAGCTGAGCTTTTTATATCCCCTGTGCCTCTCCTCCCACGCGACCCCGCTGCTCGTGGCGGAGGGAGCTGGGTTAAAACAACACTGCTCTCCACGATGTCCTGACCCTGGTTTTCCAGCCGGCTGCTGCAAACACCTCTTGGGCACCCCAAAATGCCCGAGGGCCTGAGCAAGCGCACACACGCGTGCAACAGAGTAGTATCTTCTAACAGGACCTGTCCTGGTGGATCACACAAGTAGGGAGGAACAGGCAAAGGCGCTGCTCATCTACAGTGAAGTGCACCAGCTATCTCCAAAATCAGACACGTCACCGGTGTTCTCCCTATCTCCTTTCACACCCACCCCCTCCAGAAAAACAGCCCCCAGCTTCGTTTTATTCCCGAYTTTGGGGAGCACCAGGACTCACGGTTTCTCTCTGCGGAAAAAGATCCCACAGAGCCCAAAACCWTTCAGGAGCCTGTGGTGGCCCCGCAGTCCCCACGTCACCTATTGCTCCGCTCTTCAGGACGCCGCTCGGGCTGTGATTTATGAGCTAAAGCCTTTGCAGCGGCGTTGCCGGCTACGTGACAGGGGCAGAGGGTACGTGCAGGCGCACGCGCCTCGGCTCACGCGCAGAGCAGAGCCCGGCCAAAACGCTTCTCCACGCCGGGGTGATACACGAGCGAGTCAGGGGGACGGGCACCGAGTTCTTTGATTACCCGGCGGGGCCGCGCGCCGCTTACGCTCCAGGAACGAGGAACCTGCTCGGCCCGCGAGCGAGCAGCTCAATTCCTGGCTCAGCGGTTTTTAATCGGCCACCCACGGATGTTGACAGCGGGCTGAAGCGCTACGGAAGCGGCGGCTCTCGTGCCAGGGTGCCGAGGGGCTTTTTAAGACACTTGGCATCGTCAAAACATAGAGTGAGGCTTAATCCCCTTGGGTTTGGAGCAAAGAAGGCCGTAGCACGAGGTAGGGTCAAGCTCTCGGCTTCACTACAGTCTTTGCATACGATTCTGAGCACGTTAAAAGCTTTCCAAGAGGATGACATTACAATTTACAGTGCTTTAGAGCACGCTTGCTCTGCCACAGCGCTGCAAAGGGATCTTTGGATAGAGCGGGACGAGCATCTTAACATTTATTGGTCTATAAAACACTTGCTAAATCCCCTAAGGACAGCACGTACCAAATTAATAATGGAAGCTGCTGTAGATCACAGCGTTCTGCTCAGAAGCCAACTTCAAATTAAGCTTGCAATATTTCACACGTGCTGTACGGCCCTTTATTTAAAGATAAACACTCATTTATAACAAACCCATGTGCATAACGCGGCTACGCTTTGTCTTCCAGAAACACGTTATAAAAATCAATTACTTAATACTAAGGGCTGCAGTCGAGAGGCCCGATGCTGCCAGTGCCTCGGAGGCAGTGGGAATCCGAGCCTGGAGCCCACGTTTCACGCGTGTTAAATTGGAAAAGCGGCTACAGGAGCCAGCTCCATACTGCAGGAGAGAACCTAATCGCCCCAGAGCGCCCGTATTTCTCGGGAGCGGCACTCCGGCTGCCACGGGGCAATCCAACACCTGCCTCGCCTCCGCGGAGACGCAGATAAGCGCGTTTTATTTGCATCAGACAGGACGGCTTCGCTGCCGCCGAGCGGCAGCAGCCCCGTAACGAGATCGTGGGGATCAAGTGCTCATTTCCAAAACATGAGACTATTTATTACAGGAACACTTGAGCAGGCRAGGGCTAAAATTTGATGTTACGGATGTGCCTTATCTCGTGAGGAATAGTTTTCTAGACATATTCATCAGAGAAAGACAAGAATAAAAAAAAGAGGTGGGAGGGCTATAGACATCTTCCCTGGGAAGTGCTTCTCCCCTGGGAAGTGCTGCCTTGGGAACGTGCACTGGGTTGTTCTGTGTCCACACGGAGGACCTGTTCCTGCACAGACCAAAGTGTATTTACAGACCACATAGCAACTATTCCGGAGGSAGGCAGCGTGCTGGGAAACAAACACGTCTGCCCTCCTAAGGTGGTTTCTCCCCAGGCACATGGAAAGTCAGCAGACAGGTTTGCCTGCGTGGAGCGCATGAGAAAGCACCAGGGCTCTAATAGGGCTGTAATCACTTCAACATGTTTTTTTAGTGCCGATCAGCTCCTGTGCGTGTTACGTGATCRCTTCCCCCACTGCGCATCTTGTTTTTTCAGGGCAGCTTTTTTTTCAGAGCGTTCCCATTGAGCAGGAGGAGAGAGGACAACACGTAACACTTGCATTCGCTGTCTGCAGGTGAAACGAAGCGGGCTCTTGCTGCACTCTTGCAGCGAGCTACAAACGAGGAGAGGATGATACCCAGCGCAGAGGGATGCCCTCTAACGCGCTCGCTTCCCTGCGGCCCTGGGCCCACGTGGCTGCAAACTGCCACCAACTGCACAGAGGGAAGCCCGGCAGCACGAGGCGAGCGGCAGCGCAGCGCTTACCAGCCTGCTCCAAGGCCACGAGCATGGACTGCTCGATGAGGTCGCGCTCGATGAAGCTGCGGAAGTCCTCCGTGTACACGGTGAGGTCGGGCAGCTGGAACGTGCAGATGGGCATCTCCAGGAGGTGCTCGCTGCTGCCATTGCTGGAGACGTGGGAGCGGGCCAGGGAGACGATGGTGGAGCTGGCGTGGGAGATGCCTCGCGACAGGCGCTTTTCTGGAGGAGAAGAGCGGGACGAGAGCCGCGTGAACGTGCGGAGGAGGCACGAGGATCTGCCTCGCTCCAGCACGTGACGATTCCAGAGGCCGGGCGCACGGCTGGCCCGAGGGGCACCGCTCACCTTGCACGATGTCGTCCTGCCGCTGGAGCGGCGGCCGCGCCGGCCGCGGCGCCTCCTTCTCGGCAGCCCTGTAGCTGCGCCCCTCGTTGAAGGCGTGCGGCAGGTTCCCCGCGTGCACCTGCCGCAGCTGCTCGAAGTCGCTCAGGGCCGCGCTCAGATCCCAGTTTTTCCCTGGATGGGAAGGGAGAAACAGGCCATCCTCATCGTATGCAGGAAACATAAAATAACCAGGTCCTAAAACCGGCTAAATCCAGGCTAGAAGCTCATCCTTAAAATAGCGTTGGCTCTGCAAACGCAGGTTTAACGTGCTCAGCAGGCACATGCAGAGCTTGCAGGAAGCTAAACTCACACTTATTTGGCCACTGGACACTACAAATCCCCCAAAACCGTTCAAACCCCCCCAACTTTTCCAGAACAAGATTCCAGGCAGTAAAACGAATAGCGGAATGACCTCCATAGCACATCTGTTAAGKGCAGGCTAGGGAACCGAAGGAACAGTCCCTTAGGAAAGGGAAACCAAAGGCTGGGCTGCGCTATGCCCAGCAGCACCTGCAGGGGCCAAGMGCTTCGGGTCGCGCTTGGCTTTATAGCTGCCTCATCTGCATCTAATACCATCCATCAAGAATGCAAACGCCRCAGCATTTAATGCAATTAATCAAGATGCCAGCGCCACCGCATTTAACGTGGCCCAGCAAGATGCCAACAGCACTTCTTCAATGACCAACTCGACACCTACAGCCCCCGTATCCCCCGCACCAGCGCGGGACAACACTCGGGTGAAAACACATGTGATAAAGCACAACCTCTCAGGGTGATGACTTACAATAAACTATTTTAAACCTCTGTGCTGGTTTAAGGTAAAACAGCGAGGAGCAAGCCAGGCTGTGCCATTACTAATCCAATAAATTATTCAGCAAAACAGCTTGAACTTGGTGGAGTTGAGTGAAGCCCTTCTGCTTTAATCCTACCCAGCAAAGCCAAAAGAACATAATATATATTAATACACTGCAGCCTTTCAGCGTGCACTAAACTGACCTTTTACAGGACACTATCTTCTAAAGGCAAAAATATATAGCAAGGAAAGTCCACCATATGGCTTACATTTGGGAAAATTGTGATTTTTATGAACGCTGTTAATCCGGGCTCTTAAATTAGGAAGTTAGCAGACAGCAGAGAAAGAAAGCCAACTTTATATATAGCAACTCCACTACAGGAAAGAGCTATAAACTGCCAACTGGCTTATAGGATAGCTTGTGGACAATAAAASCAGGCAGCACGTCTGATTTCCAAAAGGAAATAGGCATTTGCGAGTATTTAAATTCCCCTGTGAGATGCAGCTTGCAGCATTTAGTGACTGATGACAAACAGAAAGTTGTTTCAAGGTTTACCTTTAGAGTCCAAGGGCTTTTTTTTTTTCCTCTTTCAAAGGAAGCAATGAATCAGGATCAAGGAATGAGCTACTGGACTAAAATTAACTGTGCTGCCCCATCAGCATCTGCCTCCATACGTAAGCAATGGGAGGACACACTAGCAATATGACCTACGGCAGCTGGATTTACCTGCCCTCTTCACCAGCAGCTGTTGTAGAAATTGGGAGAGAGAGACAAATTTGGGAAAGCCTATGCAAAACAACGGCAGTCGCATAAAATCTCAATACTTACACATCACCTGTGAGCACGAGGGAAGGGCGTGTTTAATAGACTTGGCACTAAGATGCTTTTGGCAAATACAAGAGGGATGTTGGACTCGAGGTGGAAGAAACTCTGGCAAAATAAATGGTTTCCTCAGCACTTTGGCGATAYGGGAGGTTTCTCCCAAACACCCCAAAAAAAGTCAGAGTCTAAATAATTTCACTAGCTACTGCTCCCCACCCCGGCTCCTCCAGCTCCTGTGTGCAGGCGAGCGCTAAGATCTTTCGCAGCGGAAGGACCGAGACGCAGCAGAGCAGATGTCAAGACCCGCCGGCGCGTGGGAAGGTGCTAGGTGGGAAATCGCTGCTCGGAAGGCACGCCGGAGTCGAAAGACGGGCAGAAGACGGCGCTTCGTAAGCGCTCGCCGCTCCCGTCCCAGTCACTGCCTTTCCGCAGCACGTCTTGTTTTATCTGACGGCTTCCAGAGCACGGCGGAGCCTCRCTCATCCTCGCCAAAAATCAAGAGGGAAAAATGTGGCTGTCTTTGCTTCCACGCTGTTGCTGCCGCAGGGAGGCTCCAGGAAAAACAGCAGCGGGTTACGGAAATTAGGCAAAACAGCCATTGTCAAAATAATCAACCCCCACATAGAGGAACGGGGGACAGAACTGGAGGAGATCCTGCTTTAACCTTTCCTGAGCATCAATATTTCTTTGGAAAGGCACCATCAGAAACCCTTGCACAAGCAGGAAGCCTAAAGCCCCACGCAGCACAGGACGATGCCTCAGAACCCACAGCTCGCCTGGAAAATTAAAGGGTGACGTCCCAGAGGCCGCAGAGCTAGTGGGAGGTCGGAAGAGGGAAAGGAYATTTGCAAGCCAGTTGGCAGCCTCCAACCGAGGCCTCCTCCCTTAGCTCCGAGCAGAGGGTGCAAGGAGCCTCGTCCCGCGGGCCGCGCGCGTCGTCTCCAGCCACTCACCTTCGAGCAGGTCTCGGGCCAGTCCCGGCTCTGCCCCCGTTGAGCGAACAAAATCCGACAGCACGACGTCCATATCCAAGGTGGCGTGCTCCTGGAGCGCTCCCGGATCAGCACCTCGGCCTCAGTCTAGGAACGAGAGCAACAGCGGGCCCAGCTCGTGTTACACGGCCGGGAAAAAACCTGCAGCATCCTCGACCTCTCCAAACGCACAAGGAGAGGCAGGGGGGGATTAAAAGCAAGGAGAAAATGCTTTAATTGGGAGGTGTTGCYTCTGCAAACCAAACAACCCTTTCAGGCTACAAAAAAATAAAGTCAGTCTTTTCTTTCAGCCGTGCATAAATGCACCGCTCCGACTCTCCCAGGCGAGGAAGCGTCGTGACCTGAGCTCGCTTTTCCCCGCACCTATGCGAGGCAACRGCCCCGGCTTTGCGACGGCCTCGCCATCCTCCTTGCCCCGCCGTTCCCACAAGGAAATGAAAATGCAGCCCATCAACCAACGTTCAGCAGGCGAAGCGTCGGCTTGAGCAGCTCCAGAGCCTCGGGAAGGCACCCGGAGGTGCGGGCTCCGGCTGCGCACCCAAAGCCTGATTTACTGCATTCCTCGAGGCGGAAAACAGCCGAAAAAGTCAGGACCGGGCAAACGCACAGCCCGGTTTAAAGGGATCTTAACTTTGAGCATGCAGAGAAGCTGTTAAATATTCTCCAGTTGCAAAAGACATCTCCATGTTGCATTTGAAGGCAGCCTCAAACGGCGCATTCCGACGCGGCAGGCGACTGCCGTGCGGCACCGGGGACGCGGGGAGGAGCCGCTGGTCAYGGGGCAGTCGTTTGTGCCCCCAAAATACCAGCTGACCGGAGAGGAGAGCGAGCGCCGCCGCCAACCGAATTCCCTGCATTGCTGGAACGAGTGAGAATTTCCTTCGGGTGGGCGCAGCATTTAGAAAAAGAAGGAAAAAAACAAAAAGATGAAGAAAAATGCAAAGCAAAGCTTGGCCTTTTGGAGCGGAGCGATGGGCGGCCCGGCCTGCCCCCGCCAGCTCCTGGCATCTGCAACGCTGGCAGGCATCGCTTCCTCGCTTTCTCACCCAAATCCCATTGGATTGGGGCTCAGATGAGGCCGATTATGGCTGCAAATCCCGCGGGCACCGTGGGGCTAAGGAAAGAGGTGGCCGGGACCGGGGTGACGTCCCCGGGGGAGCCGGCAGCCGACCACGTTTCTGTGCAAGGTTGACCTAGGGGAGAAAAAGAGACAGGCGACCTGCTCGTTAGGCAGCACTCACCAAGACTTCCAAGTAAATAAATAAGAAGGAGTTGCAAAATGTAAGATGGCTAAAAACGCTGCTCCCTTATCACCCAACGGGATGCAGCGAGGCCGGCTCGGCCCTTTGCCCGTGACTCGGTCTCGCACGACCGGGATTCTGGATTCTGCCGGGAGGTTGCAGAGCAGCGGGACGGAGTGGGTCAAGCACCGAGGCTCACGTGCGAGCACAGGAGGGCTGCCACAGGGACACTATACGTTCACACGTAGGTTTTGGTGTGATGCTGCGTGCAAGCCGTCGTCACTCACATTTCATGCGCTGCAAACTTAACTTCCCCCAAAAGCGCCTTTTAAACAAGAAATCACTGCTGTGCCGGGCTCTGGTGCGGGCAGCTTTTGAGATATTTCCTTCTCCTTTACGTCTCCTCGTGGCTCGCACCTGCTCAAACCCTGCCCTCAGCCTCGCAGGTAGTAGCAGGGTGGGTGCTTTGGTGCGTGGGGATTATTAATCCCATTAATTATTAATCCTGGCACAGCCCGCTGCAAGGGGTAGCTCAACAGGAGCCAAACCCGGGAAGGGCTGTCCTCAAAGCAGCTCGTTTTTAAGGATGCCCAGTGCTTCAGCGGCTCCATTTCCCCCCAAATTTCCACCATGTCCATCGCAAGGGCCTGGATGACGTCGCTATCCTCAGACCTCGGGGAACCCGGGTGTGTTTTTAGGGCACCCTGGCACAGGGGCCTCCCGATGCCACGTGCTGGCACAGATAGTTTCTCCTTATAAAGCTCTTCCTAAAACACCTACCCCACAGGGACGGCGTGACATTTTGCTAGCTAATGCTTGTAAAATGCTATAAAAAAATTAAGTCTCGCCCTTACGAGACACCGGGAATAAATGAGGGACTTATTCCAAAGGCAGCAGGCCAAGCAGCGCTCCCCAGCACGAGCTTCCCTGGCCCGCGAGCCCATCGCCAGGCGTCTGGGCACAGGACAAACCAGGGACAACGTGGGAAAGCAGCGAGCTGTCACCCTCAAAGCTCCGCAGAGCCATTCGTGCCCGGCGGCCGCGCGTTGAGCTCGCGGGGCGCTCGAGGGACGGCCCGTCCTGCTGCACCTCACCCAAAGTCACGCCAAAATAAAGCTGCTCTTGCCACCCCTCCGAGGGAAACRCTTCCAACGCGTTAACGGCTGCAGGGCGTTGCTTAAGTCAACACAGGCGAGCAGGAGCGCGGAGGAAAGGTTCCCGCAACGCCCAGCGCTTATCGGCTGCGCGCGGGCATTTCGGGCCGGCGGCGGCTCGCAGAACTCCTGCCAATGGGTTCGCTCTGCTTTTTATTCCAGGCGTGACCGGCTTCGCTGGGAGCACAAACATTTTGGCCTGTTTTGTCTCGCTGCGCGCGGGGCCCAGGGCGGCAGCAGGAGGTGACGCCAGGCGTAACGCGGCGCTCGCTGGGGCCTCCCCGRCCAACGCGGGGCTCATTCCGGCCTCGTCCCCGCCGCCAGCCCGCGGTGACRGGTCCGGCTTTGCTCTTGCTGCTCCCATCTTCAGGCTCGGCACCTGGGCGATACCTGCGGCTGCARGTGCAAACACGGGAGAAAGGCGGGAGCTGCCGATCGGCGACCGCTGCGGCCCCCGGGAGCCTCCGTGGATCCTCCCTCGGGATCCGCGCTGCTCCGGCAAGCGCGGCAGGGCTGCCCGTCTCCGGCAGGTCAATCGCGCCAAGAGCAGCGGCGCAGCACGAAAGCTCAAGTTTGGGCACAAAAGCCGCTTGAAGGGAAGAAGTTAAACTCACTATTTGCACTTTTCACACGTGCTTAGCACAGATTTGTCTTCTTATGGGATGCTAGAAGAAGATGGACTCGTGTGGTGGGAATCACGGAGGTCGCAGCTCGGATGAGGAGCAGCATCCAAGTCCAAGCGAGCTCCCGGCGCGGGCCCTGGCCCTACCAGGGCCTTAAGTATGTCCTGGTCTTAAAATAAAAGGCAAGTAAGAAGCAGGTGTCCTGCAGCACGTCAGCACCCGCTTCCTGCTCGCGCGGGGCGGCAGGACACAGCAACCAAACCTATATTAGGAAACTCCACAACTTCGGCGCAGGGAAAACGTTTCCATTTGCATCAAAACGCATGAACACTTGGCTCTGTCTTTGGTTTGTAAAGTGAAGCTCTTTGGCGAACATTATAAAGGCCATCAGGAACCAAAGGTGACTTCCATCTCCGCTGTGGGTACTTCTATACGTTGCACTGCGTATGTTTTGCTTTTAAATGGATTTTGGGCTGGGCAGGTGCCTCGTTACAGAAATCCATCATCTGTGGGATGCAGACACATCAACCTCCATCCCGGTGTCACCGGGAAGCTCCGGAGCCAGCGTCCGCATCCAACGAGGAGCAAAGCAAGAAGGTGGGATGGGACCGAGCCATCCCTGGAGCCTCCCGCCCTGCCAGCTCCAACCTATGGATCACACGCATGGATTTCATCCACGGATCTCTGTGTGACCYGGGCTCATTGAGCAACAGATCAACAGGCTCTTCCCCCCGCAGAGCTCCGGCCTTCCCGCAACGGCCTTTCCCGCTCGGGCACCACGTCCGCGGATGTGGCGAGCGACAGCGGCGCATCCCAACCCGCAGGGCGCCGGCGCTGCCCCGGGCACGCGCCGAATCCCGGCCCTCGTCCCCTTTATGTGCTCCTCCGGCATGCCCGGCCCCTTCCCAAATCCCATGTCCGGCTCCTCCAGTGCTCAAGGACAAGCTGTGCAAGAGGAATGTCTTGGACTGAGGGATTTAATGCACATCCTGGAGCTTYCCCTGTGCTGCTGGCAGGGGCAAAAGTCTTCCAAAGCTTCGGGCTGTTCCTCTCCAGCTGGAACGCGCGGGACGTGGACTAACCGCTTTGTCCCGCTGCAAAGAGCCTCTTCCAACCTACAAAGCGACTTCTGTCAATGCTCCCCGGGAAGGGCCGCACGCTGCAGGGAGGGAAAGCTCCCACGTAAAGCGAAAACCCCGCCAGCCTGCGCGAACAGAGGCGATGGCTGCGAGAGGCAGGCGGCCACGCAGCCCTGCCCGCGGGGACGCCACCGCTCGGGGCGTTCGAGCTGCTCTCTAGCACGAGGCAAGTCCCGAGAAGAAAATAAAAGGGAGCAGATGCYTTTCCCAAGGCCGAGGCTCTCCGGGCGCACCTCGGCTCTCGCAGAGGGGCTGCCCGCAAAGCCGGGTGTTTCGGTGCTGCCTCGTGACACCCTCCGAAAGGGCAGCGCCCGGGAGCCAACCTGAGCGTCCTCCCAAAGCCAAAGGGCCCCCGAGCCGCTCGTCCGGGGCGCGGAGCCGCCCCTGGGCGGGGGGCTCCTCTGCAGCAGCGTGGCCACGATTAAAACGTGGGACAAGGAAAGGATCCACGGGCCGTTTCGTGTGTCTCCTCCCGGCGAACACCCCCGGCAGCTCCCGCCTTCCGCGGGGAAGCGCCGGTCGGTTTGGGGAGCCCG